GAAAAAGAAAAAGAAAATAAAACATGGTTTATTCTGATATAACGAAAGTATAGATTTTTCTAAAAAGACTGAATGCGAACCTTTGCAAATATCTTTTCATAACAATTTTGTTTCACGGGCCAAACAAAATCACTCTTGTTCTTGTCGACGTTTTCCTAATTTCCATATTGCAGAGCATGCGCAGACGTTTGGAAAATGTCTAAATGTGTAAATGTCTTTTTTTGGTGGACAACGTTAATGACATTGACTGYATATGACAACAGAACTTTTCGAAATTACTAATTTAGACATGGTCTTTCCTGTAATGAAAATATATTTTTGAAATCATTAATTCAGTTGTTCTTGGTACTCGTTACCAGTCTTACACTCGTTTTTCATTCATTTATTTATATTGGCTCCAAATTAAGCTGCTTTGGGATTTGCCCTCAGCGGTCTGTTATTTCATGAGGAGATTGCTTTCTGAATCATTCGCCAAAAACACAAAATAAGTTAAGAAATTTTAATATCTGCCGATTTTATATTAAACATTTTAACTTCATTTGTGCTTCTATACTACGATCATTTACAAAATAGGTTATAATTGAATTAAAGATAGATAGCTTTCTTYCTGCCGAAAGTCCTTTCAAATCCACTTCTCATTCTACCAAAAGATGTCGTCGCTCTTAATCTCTCGTGGCTCGAATTTGAACGAAGTTTGTCCGTTGAAGTACTATGTAGCTTGTTCAATAGAAAAGGTCCCTTTGGCTTGTCGTCCGAACTCCGTTCAACAACATCGCTATTGTCATTATTTTCAGTGCAAGTCACGCTACGCTCCGTTGGTGAAATCCCAGTTGTCTTACCAAGTTCTGTGTTCCCCGACCCTGATCTAACTTTCTGGAGAGCGAACATTTTAGGTTTCTGGTTCGTCTTATTTTYATCTTCTATCTTTTGAAGTTTGAGTTTATTGGCAGAGGAAGCTCCTTTGACTTTCTCGATCGCAAATGGATTTTTCTTTCTCTGTGACACAGGACTATTATTTTTTGACATGAATCTGTATTTTGTGCTTGTTTCTTCGGGTGATGTTGAACCGTGTAATTCCTGAAGTGACTTTAATTGTTCTGGTATGTTATTGTTGCTGTCTTTTCTCCTTCTCGTTATTTCGGGGCTTTTATTTCCTGGGTTTCTCGTGCCATCAGGGGAAGATTCTTCTTCGCTCCGTTCAAAATAAGATTTCGGTTTCTCAAACATACCAACACCCCATTTTCTTCTTTCTAAAGACGGTGATCTTTTTATGCTTATCGAAGGAATCTTTAAAGTGTCTTTTCTGTCATTCTTTTGACTTAAAACTCGTTTCAAAAGCTCCTTAAGAAGCTCTTGTACTTCAATGTAGCCCTCAGAAATAGACACCTCGTAAAATGTACACTCCAGTTCGTTTGAGAACCCGATTCCTTCTTCAATATCGACTCTCCTAAGGTGATCCAGATCTTTTTTAGTAGCCACGATCACCATAGACATTGATTCTATGTTCCTATGGTCTTTGATGTATTTTGCTATGCTGCGCGCTTCGTCAAAGGATGATCGATCAACGATTGAGTACAGAATAATGAACAGATCGCCTCTGCGTGTGTAGCGTCTGATCTTCCCATCAGTATTCTGAAAAACAATTGATGATAATTTCAGGGTCAGATTTAGGACTTTGTTCTGTTTTTTTTTTATTAAAATGCCGAGTAAGTGAAAATAAAGTCGTCGTCTGGGGTAATATATGGCATCTCAGCCTATGCCTCACTCCCCCTGTATCTAATAAGGGATTGATTTGACCGTGATTCCCTTTATATAACCGTACCTCTCCAGCTGTATCCATAATGTCCACATACACGTCTTCGTTTTCAATCTGTAGCGTGTGTCGGTACGTTGATTCTAAAACACGCGGAAAACAACATCAATTGCGCGTCATGGCTTAATAAGGTGTCCATTTTACAACTGGAGTGCGCTACCACAGTATGGGGCAATGGTTTACCGTCTTGCTTTCCGTCATCATAGGCCTTTTCTAAGTTCGATAAGCAGGACGCATTGTGGTAATRCTGCAACAATGTTCGTTACCTCAGGAAAGGTGTATGGTGCGTAGTTACACAATGGCGTGTATGAGCAACAGTTACACAGCTTTAAAATTTGTTTCTACTCTTTTCCATGTTGTTATACTTACCTAGAGTCTGGTCATATTCCCCGATAAATCGTCGCGTCACGAACCGTACAGTAAGAGCTGAAAATAAACAAACACATTTGGTTCCCACCAAGTTTAATTAAGGGCACGTAAACTGATAGTTAAAAAGGATAGAGGAAAAAAGAGACAAGATCCAAAAATGGATGGGCACGTCCGTTAAGAAGTTACACTGCAACTTGATGTTAGACTTCGCTGCACCAAGAGAGATGGATGAATTGATTAAGGACAATGAAACTGATAGTTATAAAAGGATATATGAAAAAACAGAAAAGATCCAAAAATGGATGGGCGCGTCTGGTAAGAAGTTACCCTGCAACTTTATGGTAAAGGTCGCTGTATTTGCACCAAGAAGGTCGAATAATCTGCACTATAGGCAATAATTTAATTTTTTTCAAATTAATTAACTTTTTGAGTAACATGAAGTTTTCTCGGACAACACCCTTAAGGTTATCGCGATTAGGTTATTACTATACAGACACCGCATGTATTGCGTCTATCACAGARGCGCTAAGGCCAGTGTTTACAATGGGGTCATTGCTAGGGCTAACGCTTTAGTCTTTTGGTTTCCCCTGGGAAACAAAATTAAAGACCCATCTCTTGCACTCTGTATTCATAATGAAACCTAGACTAGGAAGCCTCGTTTACATGGATGTAGGGTGACACTTCTGTTATGACTACTTCTTGCTTTTAGTGTCCCCTGATTAAGGAAACAAAACACTTGTCATTAGCACTTGGGTCATTTTATATTTTGTAGCCAGGAAGGAAGCTGTGGTTCTTCTGTTAGGACTACTAAACTCTTTGATGTCCACTGAAGAAAACTAAAGACCTGAAGCTGAAAGTATGGTTGACAATGCTGTTAGGACTAACTTTTGTTTTTGGTGTCCCTTATCCTACTGAAAAAAACTAAAGATCTGTTCC